TTTTAATAAATTTTTTAAAGTTCAGAGAAAACTACTCATAATTATGCAGCAGATTGTAATTATATTAGCTAATTGATTGTTATTATTATTGTTATTATTATTATGGATAATTGACCGTACAGTTTTTGTCTCGGAACTTTGAAATGTCATTAAAAATCACGAATTAAATTGAAAACGGAATACGTCAATACGTTTATACGTTTATACGTTTTTAGTAGAATAAACCGTTTGAAATGGCTATCTTAGATTTTTTCAAAAAAATAGAGTAACGAGTTATTTCGTTTTAAAAAAAAAAAATGAACCGTCATATAATTTTTCACATTCCCCCCCCCCCCGGTCCCTGCGAGCAACACGGAAAACCGGATTCGATTATCTTCATTGTCTCCGGAGATACCGCAATGGGCGCGCAGTCCTCGCGGGACGCCTTGCATAGGGTGGCACGACATTTAAACCGCCCTGTATGCGCACGATAAACAATAATCACACGTCGCTGGTGACGACGACGGTTTTTACCACGGCCACCGCCGACAATAATTGTATCGCGTGCGTGCGTGCGTGCCGGCGGCGGCGGCGGCGGCGGCGGCGGTTATTAGGTGTATTATCGGCGGTACGCGTTATTATTAAAATATTTATTATCGAGACGGCGCACGGCGAACACCGCGCCGCCGTCCGCGATCCGGGTAATACGGTACCGGGCGGCAAATCACACGATACCGAATGTCGCAGTCACACCTATTACGCGTACGCACGGTGTTACAACGCGAAACGGTGACCGCGCTCTACGCCGCGAACCGGAACGTTTAATATCGGCGATCCACGACCTGTCGGCCATCTCCCGTCCGTAGGCGAGCGGCGGCAAGTACGCGATGGCCGCGCGCGTTCCCGTCACGTTCGCTACCGTGTCGCGCGTCCGTCAATGCGGCCACGTCGCCATGTGCCATCGCCGGGTCCGCCGATAGGAATACGATGCGGATAGACGGGATTCCAGTCCTGTCGTGTCGATTATCGCGCCGGAACGTTTATCTGCCGCCAAACGTCGCCATGCACTCTGTACACCGGCGGACAGGTAAAGACCGTACGGGTTCGGGGGATACCGCGCGAACCCCCTCTTCTCCCCCCCCACCGTGTACCCCGTGCACACCCCCATACCAACGGGCCACGGTCATACAGACACTACGAATACTCGAATAGCGTTCCCACCGGATACGCGTTACACACGTGCTACATGGTGTTACGTACAGGAAAATCTTATTTTCGAAAAGATAAACTTTTTTTCGGCTACGAGAAACAAAACCCCGTAGACAAATGCGATTGTATACATATCGATATTGGATACCGTGTAACCGACACACAGATCGCAAAAGATTCGATGTTACTAATTATTTTTGTTAAAAATATCGAAAATACATTGTTATAGACGGTTTTTTTTTTTACAGGAACCGCCATAACTGTACGAATTTAAAAATATGTATTCGAATTCGTGATAATGTATTATAATATTACGATCGTTTATCGGTTTCGTTTATCATCGAAAACAAACGAAAAAGTATCTAGCCGAACAAAGATTAACAAATTAAAGGATGTCAAAAGACATACGCAATTTCCGGTATAGGTGTAAGTGCGTTCGTGTTGTGTTCACAGAACTGTTTTTTGTTTCTTGAAGACAATTCGTTTAGTTTTTTAGATTTGAAGTGGATTTTGAGGGTGGTTTAATAAAAAAAAAAAAAATAGTTTTACTATGATGTGTTTTTATTTTTTTGTCTGTAAACAACTTTTCGAACAAAAAACAAGCTCCAATCGAAAAATAACAAACGTTACGTTTTGGATCTAGATGTTCGATTAAAAGAGGTCATTTTTGAAATATTTTTTTCTTTTGATTTTAGATAAAATTATAATGCAGAACTGAAAATTATATTTTTCCTGTACACAATTTGATCCAATAGAATAAATTACATTGCGGCCTTCCTACCTCCGAATTTTTACGTGAGCGTGTTTTTAACGCGGTGTCACAAACAACGCGAGTTACAATATAAAGAAGAACCGAGAAAAAAACCGATCCGCTTACGACGTAATGGAAAGGTTCCGTGTCGAACGAAAAAGAAAAAAAAAAAAAAAAGAAAAAGTAAAAATCCAACAAATGCACTTTTCTATTTGACGTGTTCGTTTTCGCTTTCGCGAGCTGTCGCTTTACCAGGTTTTGTTTACCTGCAGTGTACAACATCGACCGGTTATAACCGCTGCATGACGTGGTATATAAGTATAACCTACTCATTTTTTATTTTATAAATACATACGTGATGTCCGGCAGAGTATAAACAGTAATAATATTGTATACATCTGAGACTCTAGCGCCGGGATCATGATGCCGATTTTTAACGATTTTCAAAGTTTCTCTTTATCCGTGGACTCAGTGGCGGAGCGAAATATTATTATTATTTTTTTTTTTATATGTAAAGCGGTTTCAGTCAAACGGCAAAACAAACTCATGAAATCCAAGCCCAGAACGATCGGCTACTGTAATTAAAACTACTAAACGTTCCTGAACTCACGTTATTCGTTAACATACCTAATAATAAATTACAATAACCGCTCACACCCACGAACAGAGTATTACAGGTCGTGTATTTTTTCTTGTTATTGCAAAGGTAACCTAGAAACGGTACGCTTAATATTTGCCAGAGTTACCATTTATTAAGAAACCGACCAGTCAAAGGAACGACCGCCTCGATGAACCGACTAGATCAAATATGCTACACGGAAGTTGCCATACAACGTTTTTGATTGGAACGAGATTTCCGGTAGAAAAGTTGTTTGCAGACTAATAAAACCACACACTACAGTAAAGTCGCGCACAGTCATTGTTTCGCTTGGGTTTAAAATAATAAACGAAATTCTAAAAACTTGCGTTTTTTACACGCTGCAGACTTTAATGAAATTTATCGGCGCACGTGTACCTAGTACAATCTATACGATTTTATGAATATTCGTGTCTCCGTGTTATCGTGGCGGAATCGATCATATTCTGTAGTTGGTGTAGTACAGAAAATCAACGACATCTAATTTGTTCGATTCAAAATAATTGAACGTCATTTTCTGCGTCGTTAATTTAAAAAAAAAAAAAAAATAATAATAATGATAATTGCGTGTAAACGACTTTGGCTACCTATAATTGGTATTACTAACGGCTATTATGCAAGTCGGTGCCGTTCAAAATGACTATCCATAACAATAAAACCACCTATTTATATTTTAATCGAACAGTAGCATTTTTATTGGAAGAGATTTTTTTTGTTTTTTTGTCGACTTGACGACAGCGTAATGTAGTCAAATTATTTTTCACGAACTACGATATTTTCGCGTACAGGGCGATCGATTCTCGATAACACACTCGGAAAAATTTCGAAAAGCGTTAACTTTTTTCGGAATTTGTTATTTAAAATATGTATGAAACGAGCAGCAATAATTTTTTTCACCTTTATTTTTTTTTTATTTAGCGAGGGGTGGGGGGGAGATGGAACCATCACCCGCTTTTGAGTTTTAAATAGCAACTTATATTAAAAACGCTATAAAATTATTGTCGTTTCATTTAAACCAAATTTCGGTGTTGACATTTTTAATTTCTGTCGACTCGCCGATGAGATATTCCGTTTTTAAGTTTGTGCCAGGACAGAGTACGTAGGCAGTAGAGTACTGATCAAACGCCGCGCGCCGTGCCACCAAACAAATGGTGCTTTACTATACTCTTCCCCTGCCCGAACTTTAAAGTAAAATATCCCGTCAATTAGTCGACGGAAATTAAAAATGTCAATACTGAAATTGATTGAATCCAAGATTCCATTTACGGAATTTTTAATATAGGTTGCTGTTCGAATATCAGAAGTGGGTATCGCTCCCAAAAATAAGGTTGACAAATATTAATAGCAGTGTTAAATTTTAATAATACCGATTTCATTAGTCATCTGAAAAAATAAAAATAAAATAGAAATACATTCCGAGATCACGGCTGTCTCGTCGAGAATTGATCGCACTACAATTTTATTGTACGGGTACTGCGGTTTATAAAGTAACGCATACCGACAAGGCTAAAACAGAATCCCCGATAACACTATCGGAGTGTACACTATTATGCTACAACGTTATGGCGGATTCCATAAATGGATGTTGGAATCATTTTCTAATTGTTTAGATTGTTTAGAAAAATTAAATTACACCAATATCCGGGTCTATCCGGGGGTAATTTTAATTACCAATTAACATTGTATTTAACGAATAATAATTAAAAATCTACCGTTTACGCTAATACGTATTTTGCATATACCTATGCGTGTTTTATGCGCATAACACAGAATGCATCCAGATATGCATGCATATTTATAATACTATAATGTCACCATTGACGAACAAGTATTTAGTGTTACTGTTCAACATGCGAAATTTATCCGAATAGATTATAATGCGGACTCTAAGTTCATCAAATACCGCATTCAGTCACAAAACAATGTGTTAGTTAATATATAGTGGGACTGGACGTTTTTCGTTCGGTGTTCAAACATCAAAACACGGTGATTTAGTATACGACCTGTACTCGTATGATATTGCGCGCGGTACATCTCGAGTAAAACGTTTTAAAACTGTTAAAACGTTTTCCGATTGCCCGTACTTCGAAATCATACGGACACGTTTCATACATAAGTGTAATGCACGACGCACGATTGCATGTAAAACAATGAATAATTCAACGCGTTATCCGTTGATTAACTACGCAATTCGATTATTACTGCGAGAGCGTCACGATGCACGGATTGCGTTAATCGTATTGCAATGGTCCATTTACATTCGGACCGAGTAAACGTTTTTTTTTTTCCGTCGACTCGTATCAATTCAACGTGTTTACTTACCTATTCGAATACATCTTATTTTTCACGTTCGTATTTGTTTTAATACAATAAATGATTATTATCGTCGTATTAATTTAATTTAACGTCTATGTTTAATATTTTCCGTTGTAATGATTGAATTGTTAGTATAACATTTTACTGTGTGCACTCGTCGTTTTATGAACAATGAAAAGCGGACGGAATTGTGTGAAACTGATATTATTATTCATGAACGAAACATCGTTCGACAAAGTAAAAAATTTAATAAATGGACACAATTATATCTCAAAGAAGCTGAAACGCGCTTATTTTTCACAGGTACCAATCGCGGTAGGAAATTAGACATACTTCTATTTTTTAAAGTGTTTGTATGCATTTTTTTTATTTTCTATTTTGTACATTTTCCAGATCATTTAGGAAGTCGATTTTCAATTTTTATTTTTAGAGACTTCCAAAATTAAGATATTTTTTTGAAAACAACTAAACTACATTTACATTTAATTTGGACACACAGGATTTTAAATTAAAAAATCGACTAAATCGACAAAAATCTAGATTATCTGTCAGAAAATTCATATGTATTTTAAAAATTGAAATCGAATATTGGCAAGTATGTCTAACTTATTACTATTTGTTTGCCTGAAACGTCGTATTCGTCATATTGGAAGTCTTATATTCAGTTTATTGAAAAACACCAACCTTCTTTGTGCTTCTTTTCTTCTTTAGCGCTAAAACTGGTTTACAACTTTACAAGCATTCAAGTTTGTACAATTTTTCATTTCGAGCACTGTGTATTCGACAAAAATTAGTTTTATTTATAACAAACAAGAATCCAATAACCTTTTTTTTTTGTACAATTATATTGAATTTTTTTTAAAACTGATGAAAAAAAACTGCATTCCGCTTTATTTTAATTTTATCAACCGTATTATTTATTAAACGGGATTCACTGAATAAAAGTGATGAGGAATTGTTATTTCTTACTAGGTACCCATTTAATTGCAAAATTTTTTATTATTCGACGAAATCCATGAAATATACAAATAATTACCAATTTACAATTTTTTTTACACATAGAAATTTATCGTGATATTTTTCTATTTTCTTTTGCGGCGTTGAACATTTTTATTTTACCTTTAGTCTAATTATTATGCAATATTGTTACGCTAGGTATAATTTGTAAGATTTAATACCAAATTTCGATATGAATATAATATTACTAATGCAGGATAGGCTCTTCCTGCATTTTTTTTTTTTCATAATATGAACTATTAGTTCATCAAAATGTCTTAGGGGCCCCTATTCAATGCCCTTTCGCAAAATGTATATAAAGTAATATTTTATAAGGATTACTAGGGTGTGCGTAAATGGGAGAACGTATCAATTTATTCAGAACAAAAGTAACCATCCACAACGTGTCCCCATTACGTTCAACATCCGATTCTAGAATAGATAATATAGGTATCTATAGTATAGATACCTTGGTACTGGTAAATAGTATAGAATCTATACTATTTACCAGTATCAAGTGATAAGTCGATAATAATTCATTTTTATGTCGGAAAGATTTAATTGCTGTTGTAATATAGTGATATTCATAAACTACAACGCAAGTTTCAAAATTGCAACTTTAACATACGTAGTCGAAATGCATGTTTTTGACGTGAAGTATAATATTATAATATCACAACATTCACAACTTTATTTCCTACAGCTAAAATATTAATCCTTAGCGTGTATGTACCTACCATATTAAGTTACGTTAGTGCTTACCTACGTAGATAATAGGTATACGGAATCATTAACATTATTCCAGTAATTGCTATAAATATTTGCGCTCGCTGTTTTTCTCTTACTTATACTATACTGCCAATCATCATAAGTAAGAGTTTTTAGTGATTTTACTAAATTTAAGTAAATAAGGTAGGTTAAATGATCAGTAAAAGACTAAAAAATTATTAAGACATTTTATTTTTCAACGTATATCGTAAAAACAAATCACTACGACAACAGATAATAATGTTCGATATAATGGGTAGGTTGAGTAAATTTTTTAAAAAGATAGATTTCTGGAAATCATAGCAAATCGAGGGATATTTTCGATTTGCGAATAGGAGAGGAACGATCGGCGAGCGAGCCAACAAAATCTTTTGAATTTAAAAATATATTTAGGTACTTTCCTCTTATTCGAAATTTAATTTTTTTCTCCAAATTATGTCTAACCAATTTTTGTAGTTGGATTTTGAAATGCCTACAGTGTAAAAGGTATCTTCTGTGAACATTTCAAGTTTATAACTTAATATATATATATTTATATATTTACACTTCTATTGATTTATATTTATACAGATTCTTTTATCGTTTAAATAAAAAAAAAAAATATTTAAAGGGTGATCAGAATTTTACGTTATAGCAATTTTCTCCTACAAATATACAAAATAGAGAAAAATATATAATACAAAAGTATTCGATTTATAAACATTTAAAATTATTTTATTTTTTCATTGTATTTTTTTGGGGGGAGGGGGCATTGACAATTAGCATGACTAGAGCATCTTCGGTATCCTTGGTTCGTTCCAACTAAATCCATTCGAACGAGTTCATGTAATGAATACTCATTGTTTGTTCCGATCTCATTAATCGTCATGGAACAAGACTTTAAGGCCACCACACTGTTCTGTTCTAACCATGTGCTAAGCACTCCGTATTTAGTAACAATACGATATTTGTGAGTTTTTTCTTCTAACAACTATTGCAAAAAGATTTGTTATATAACTGCGTTTTCGGTCCACCAATGGCATAGAAACCAGAACAATTGTCACCTACGTTTAAAGAAGATGGCATTACCTCTAGTTACCATTCTATCCACTTAAAGTTTTAAATTATGAACTGCAAAGTTTGTGCAGTGATGGAGCAAGATGATCGGGAACTTTGCTTAACTCCATGTTTTTATTACATTCAGTTCTCTGCAATACATTACATACTAATATCATACGGGTAGAATTAACTTATTATATTTTACTTATTTCGTCAGTACAGCTATTCAACTCTAAAATGGTGTGAGTGCTCTTAATACATTTTTTTGAGTGAACACGCAACACAATTAATTTCTATAAGCGGCTCTGTTACGCCTTCCGCTGCCTTTTCAAGATTTATGGACATTTGTGTACTTTGACTATTCATAGGCTACTAATATTTTAGAATCTATGATTTTAAATATGATTTTCAGATTACCGTGCGGCGCAGTACGTTTTTAGAGCACATCCAAATAAAACTATTAATCGATTAAATATAATTAATACAATTAATAATAAAATAATAAAGCAAAAACAAAATTATAAAAAATGGTTAATAGTCGTAAATAAATAAAGTAAATTAATGTAGTAAATAAATATATAAATAAAAAATGTATAGGTAATAATAAAATAAATAAACGAATGAATGTTTCGTTCAAGGGTAAATGATAAATTAATATTTTAGTAGCATAAAATACACCGAAATTACAGAATTGTATACAATTAACATAATACACTTGGCGACGCATTCATTCATTAATTTATTTTATTTTTATATATACATTTTTTATTTCTATCTTTATTTACTTTATTCAATAGATTTATTATAATTGTTACCTCAGGAGAGGTGTTAGCGGTAGGAGCAGGTAGTGATGGAATCAAAAGCATATTAATATTTCCTTTAAAGCGGCTAAATTGTTATTTCTTCGAAGAATTCTTTTAGTGTTTTCGTTTCCGATTCCATTCGTACTTTCTGACCGAAAACCGCTTCATAAGGAGTCATCTTAATAGTTTCATGGTATGTGGTATTAACGTTCCGTTGTACTAAGTCGAGTCCCTAGCTTCACACAGCAGTAGATTTGCCCATCTCCAAGCCTCTTTCAACCGATCCCTGGTTTTGTGGGTAACTACCAGCAGTAAATTCACAACTATCATAAGACTGAAGAACATTAAGTGCACTTAAAGTCAAAAATATGTGTAATAATTCTTTCGCAACATCTAAAGCTTTCTTGAGCTTCAGAATTCGATAAAATTAAAACTCAGTCAAGTAGTCTTTTTAATGAAGAATGTACTTAAAACTACCATCAGATAAACTCTGAAAGTCAACAAGTCTACTTGTCCTCGTTCATTCAAAAGCGAAGCTAATATAGGCCGTACAATAACGTCCTTCGTTTTTTTTTTTTTTTTTTTTAATTTCTTTATATAACTCTCGCAATTGGCAATGAAATTTTTCACAGCGACCATTGGAATATGGAATAATGCTCCTTTAATCTATTGTGCATTTTCGTCTCCCCCCTTATGTCCATTGGCCACACGAATGTCACGAATAATATTAGTGAAATTATCAATTACCGCCATACTATTCCTGAATCGAGCTTCCATCGTATTCGTCAGCTACCTCAATTAATTCGAATTTACCAAGGACATGATAATACCAGCTATTTTTTTTTTTTTTATAAAAGCATTATTAATGTTTGTTAATATTTTAACTGTTTCTTCATCTTTTTGAACTGTTCACTGTGAATCACATGGTCGATTGGTAATTAATAATGTAGATATATATATATATATAACAAATATAACTAATAAATAAACCACTGTTCAACACGTAAAATATATGAACCAATTTAACACTGAACACTGAACAGCATGTAACGTCGATTGTAGACATGTTATTTGGCCGATAGAAAAACCGTCAACATCGATAAGACAAAATATTTTATTTTTATGTCACACGGGGAATCGCCTTATTATTGTTATTATTATTACACGGTCAAAGTAAAATCATAGAGCACCGAGAAAACGTTATGCGGAGAACAACATTTATATGATTGTCAAAATGATTTTAAATTTTTTCATTCAGTGCGCATATTATTACTAGTGGAACATCAACGGATAATGCGTTGCCGAATTCGCGCATTCGGCGCAACATAAATATGTATGTATTCTATACTACGAATGTAGTGAAATAATGTTCAAGTAATGTTTGAGAGTTAAAATGATTAAATTAGGTACCTACTTATAGCAGTAGTATAACAATGTAAATGTCGTTTGGTAATCTATATTTTATTCATGACATCGAATAAAAATACGAATGTGAAGTGTCCCAAAAACAATAATACCTAGCGGCAGTCGAGTCGGTAATCGTATGTACCCGCGAACATTATAATGAGAGTGTGTATATATTATTACTTAATTAAATAATTATCTTAATAATGCAATTTCAATTTAAAAAACATAATCAGAATCATATGTATAACCTCATAAATCAATATAGTTTTATAATCGATAAATTGTATTAATAATCCGACAAAATACTTTAAACAATTTGAGATTTTAATTATATAGTTTTAATCTTTGAGTAAATTTTTAATTATCGTGCGAAAAAAAATATTGAAAATAATAAAATCATTATTTTCGTAAATTTTGCCGTTCTTTCGATGTTTTTTTTTTTTTTGATTTTGCTGAATTATTTAAAATGAATACACGGAAAATCAAAACATGAATTTCTTAACTACCCTCTATATCCTACATTTTCAACTTCACCAACAACAGTGCCTGCACCCATTGTGCGAAGTATGTCCGTCCGTAAAAAAATAAATAAATACAAATAAACATCATTGTAAAACCAATTCATTCCTCGCTTCGCTCAGAATCTGAACAAATCATTCGGTTAAAGAATATAGTTAAATACT